ATTAATTAACGATTGATTTTATAAACCCTCATCAATGGCAAAGTCAAGACCCTTTTTGTACCTTGTATCACAATTTTTTATTTTTTTGGAACAGGTACTTCATTTTTTTTTAAATACACATAATAAAAATTAAGTCTAGATACAATTTCAACATATACTAATAGGGAAATCAATACGAAAATAGACGATTTAACTAACTTACATGCATATATTTGGTTATGTAATTTTCCTAGCTTACTTGCCACTTAGCACCATGGTCTAATGATATTTCTCTTCATTTGTAAGTGAGAGATCTTAGGTTAGATTCTTGTCAAATGCGAATTTGAACCACATTTGCTAGCCCATTATGAGGCTAAGCCAACCTGCCCTCGTAGTATCGTTAGTTCAAAAAAAAAAAAAAAAAAACTCAAAAGAAAAAGTTACTTAAAAATACCGTTTAGTGATATTTCTCTTTACTTTTAAATTAACAGGTAATACTAGAGAAACCAAAATTTTAGATCAAATTTGCAAACTAAATGATGTGTCACCAATAGAAAACAAGCACGTCAATCAACACTTAGATCATCTCCAGTGGAGTCTCTAAATAGGGACAACCACCGTATAAAATGAGTATAAAACAAATACAGAGACAAAATGAATCTCCAATGGTTCAGAGAGTAAGTCTCTAAAGTATAAAGAGTCACTGGATACATAGTGTATGCCCTCAAATATCGGGACTGTATAGGGATAACTTTGAGTGAAAAAGGGCCCAGAATATTGATTGAAGTTTTTAATGCTTTTAATTAATTAATAAAATTGTTAACATAAACAAAGAAAATATGCAACTTGAGTGGAAAACGGGACACACAACCTTGATTGAAGATTTTAATGCTTTTAATTAAGGGAGATTTTAGATGCGGTCTCTAGCTACGAATATTCTTTGACTTAGACCTTGTTGGTTTTCAATTTTTGATCAAAGTCCTTGAAATTAATGTGATAATTTATTTATATGTATGTTACTATATTTTTTATATTATAAATTGAAAAAAGAGTATGGGACAATTTTAATAAGGGCATATTTTTTTCTTTTCTTAATATTACATAATTATTGTTTTGTCCTCCTAATGAAAATATTATGTATAAAAAGTGAGGGTAAAATAGGAAAAATAGGGATATGATTGTCATTTTCTCAAAAGGAACACAACTTGACACACCCCGACCGAGATCAAGGCATGCTGGCCATCACGTGAGGGTGACGTAGCCATGTGCATAGTGCAGAAGCAATAAGGATAAGAAATATATGAATAATTAAAAACCGAAACTACTAGAGTGCACTAGAAAACAGGAAGTGTTAGGAGTAAGATACAAAAGTAATTACTCCTAATCAGAGCATAACAAGTCTAGGTGCAGTCTAGTAGGACAAGTACTAGTTATACAGTACCATAAGGTGTCCTACAATTATTTTATTATGTCAAAACCGCCGAAGTCCTCAAGGCCACCAACAACAAGCTTACCTAAAACCTGGAGGGGCGCAAAACAAAAAACGTGAGTGGGCAAAAACAAATGTTTTACAAAACCAATTCATTTATCAACATTTCTAACCCCTCGCTGTAAAACATGTATAATTTTTCCCATAATCAGAATATAAGCATATACATAAATATATATGTAAATATATCAATTCAAATCATGCTTCACATAATCATATTCATATGTATACAATGCCAAGATATAACAGAGTAAGTAATTCAGGTGAGAATAACTTCATAGAAATATAACATATTAGCCGGAACCCCTTGTGGTAGTCTGTACGGCTGAATTCATAGCTCAAAGTCAATCTAGCCGGAGTCACTACAATGACCTATACGGCACTATACTACACAAGAGTCGGAACCAAAAGAAAAGGTCTGTACGACAATACTGGGTGTAATATAATTATGCTCAATACTACTCTCTCATAATAGCTGGGCGATAAATCGCTAGTCACCTACGAGTCAAAACCATAGTAAAGGTCTATACGACAAGAATGTGCACCTAAATTGGATCCAATATGAGCATATGGTGCGAGAGGTGACATTATAAATAGGCCTGTGCCATATCTCTAGCTAAATCACAATCACCCTAGGTGCAGTTTTATGAGCTCAACGTTATTCAATCACATATCACATCATCGATAATTCACATAACCAAACATAACTCACTTGAGCTTACCTGAGCGTCCACAACACCACAATTATATATATAATGCATCATATACCAATTCATATACGAATTATAAATTTATATGCATGGCATTCAAGGCATACTCTCATTTAAACATATTTTCTGGCAAAATATCAAGTATATAAATATATACTGAAAACCAAAAGCCCACTCACTAGTATGTCGAAGGGTCGTAGCCCTCGAGTTGTCCTTGAACACGCTGGTCCTCGGGATAAGTCTCACCTATAAGTGAATTAACTATAAAAACGTTATTTAAAACACATAGACAAAACTAGCTAATAACTTCTCATACAATGCTCAAATGGGGTGTTTGAATATATCAATGTGATCTGCACAACTCCACAAACATCCCCATATTTTTTTTTTAAATTTTCGACCACTCATGCGTCGCCACGCATCGGCCAAGGCACGACCAGATGCACTGCCCACGTGCGGGCATGTGCCTGGCACACCCACGGCAACAGTGACGCCGTTAGGAATATTCCGTTAAATGGTAACGGAATCCGTTAAAGTTAACTAACGCCGTTGGAATATTCCATCAAAGTTGACGGAATATTCCGTCATTCCTAACCTCTAACCTCTGGTGACCGTCGCCAGCGCCGGAAACTGGGTAATTTTCTAAACCTTATATCTCTGTCGATTTTCATCCAAAATTCATGAAATTTAAACCATTTTGAAGATCTCATCAAGACGAACAAAACCATACCTTTTTCAAGTCCTAAAACTCACGGGATTCGCTGGAAAACTCCCCGATATTCCGGCAAAACCTGCAACTCGCCATTCTCGCTATTCCGACGTCCAAATTCTTCCAACGAACCACTCCTAGCCTCGTGAGGACCTCCTTAAGCTACCTATAATCTCCAAATTCCTTAAAACCTTCAAAATTATGTGTGCATGAACAGTGCACAAAGTCGGGGTTAGGGTTTCTTAGGTTTTTTAAGCTTTCCATTCTCAAAAATGGTAGCAATGAACTGAGAAGCTTACAAGGAACAAGAATCTTACCTCTTTGAAGTCGATCCGTGAAGTTTGAAAGGGTTTTGGGTGTCGCCCGTACGTGAGGGAAGAAGAGAGAGTGAGTCCAAGGGTGAGAGAGTACGGGAGAGAAGAGAGAGAGGGATAGTGTGTGTATGTTCCACGTGGGTCACCAATCAACCACAAAATAACATCCAAGTCCCCAAAGTATGTCACACACACACTACAAAGTTCAACGTCCAAGGTTAAAATCGTCATTTTACATCACTGATAATAGTAATTCGGGACGAGCTGTGACACAACTACTGTTTTGTCTTCCTTATATAAATATTGTGTATCAAAAGTAAGAGTAAAATAGAAAAATTGGGGATATGATTATCATTTTAAGAAAAGGTTGACAAGGCCTCTTCTGTTAATAATAGTATAGATAATAATGAGATTTTAAATAAAAAAATCATAATTTGTGAGATTAAAAATATTAAAATATAAATTATATTATATGATTATATAAATATTGTGTATCAAAAGTAAGAGTAAAATATTGTGTATCATTTGTCTTCCTTATATAAATATTGTGTATCAAAAGTAAGAGTAAAATAGAAAAATTGGGGATATGATTATCATTTTGAGAAAAGGTTGACAAGGCCTCTTCTGTTAATAATAGTATAGATAATAATGAGATTTTAAATAAAAAAAATCATAATTTGTGGGATTAAAAATATTAAAATATAAATTATATTAGTGTGTGTATATATATAAACGTGGGTACATTCATCAAAATTAACCAAAAAATTATTGTACCAAAACATGGGTACATTCTTCAAAATCACACAAAAAAGGAAAAAAAGAAAAGAAAAAGATATTAGGCTTAATAATATAGTAAATTTCTTCAATTAAACTTGACATGGATACATTCTCAAATTAAACAAAAAAAAAATATACCCATATAAGTTTAAAAATGGATTAGAAAAAAAATTGAATAGATTTTATATATATAAAAAAGGTATATTTTACATATAACAAATTGGTATATTTAAGAATGAGTACATTTTAAGATTAAGAATTTGAAAAAATTACATGAACAGGTACATATAAGATTAAAAAATCGAAAACATTTTTTAAAAAAGCTAATGGGTACAAACTTATTCTAATTTATTTATTTATTTTGGAAATGTTTTGAATTGAAAATTAGTTAGGAGTTTAATAGAGGTGAGAGTATTAAAATTCTAAATCAATTATTAATTTTTATTTTAAAAAAATTATGTAACTGACATGTAAATTCATTATTACATTAATGCTAGAGACTTGGATCAAAATCTAAAAACTAATAAGGTGTCAGTCAATGAACATTAGTAACTAGGGACCGAATACTAATTTTTCCTTTAATTAATTAAAAAAAGATTAAAATAAGCAAAAAAATATGGACCTAATCAAATTATCACTCAAAATTCATTTAGGGACACAAAGATTTCCTTTAAATCCTTAAATAAGTACTCAAAAATGGTGGTGGGAGTCCCGAAATAGGGATTTCTATTGGTGATGCTCTTAAATAATAATTCAATAATTAACAAGTACATCATTTGATTTGTAAATTTAATTTAAAACGTCTTAAATTCGAATTTTCAAAATAATGGGTTTGCAACTAATATATTCTTAAAATAAATATATCGTTAACTCATATGAAAAAACAACCGGAATAAAGGAATTGAAAAATACTTTTTTGTTTATGATGTGAAAGGGAAAAATCTCACGTGATGGAAGGCTGAGAAGGAAGAAGGCATATCCCAAAATTCCTGAGGAGATAAATAAGATGCTAGCAGAGAACGCGAATAGCAGGTAGTGCCACGTGGCATACTACCTGGCAATCAGGCATCGAATCTTTGGAATCACGCGACCCAAAGCCAAGCGAACCAAGCCACCACTCCACGCCTATGGCGGTCCTTCCTCTTCCCCTTCCCCTTCCCCTTCCCCTTCCCCTTCATCTCCTCCCCTTTCCTCCCCATCGTCATCGCCTTCTCCTCCGTCCTCCTCACCCAATTCGCACATAGAATTTCACTCTCACTTTCCCACGCCTCCGCAACTCTCTTTGCTCTTCTGCTCCATCGCCGCCGGCTCGCAACTCAAGGCATAGAGGGCTGAAGACGCGTCTGTCTGCAACCCAAACCCAAAGGTTCCATTTTGCGATTGGGTTTTGGCATCTGGATTTTGCCCGGTTTCCCCATTTTCCAGGTACCTATTTGATTATTCTTTGATTTGGTTATTTGGGTTGTGTTGAATTCGGATCTAAATTCGACAAAGTTTGCAACTTTTGGGGTTTACGTTGTGTTATTTTGATTGGTTGTTGGCTGAAATTCGGTTCTTTTGATTTGGTTTTGGTGAAATTGTTTCAATCGTCGTTGGGATTGGTGTTCGGGGATATTATGGTTCTCTGTGGTTTTGATAGAGTTGTCATAAATGGAGGATCTTAGTGGAGTTGATGAACATGCTTGTGATTGTCGGCTCGAAGGAAATTATATGGTGTGATCAATACTATGTGTAACAAAGGAATTGCCTGCTTGAGCGACTCCGACTCCGACTCCGAAAACCCAATTGATCATCAGGCTGTGTACTTGATGGATAGCCCTTCGGCTACCCCGCACTTTGGTTCTAATTCCACCGCTGCTTCGTCCCCCAATTCGAATGAGGAAAACCCGCGTGTTAAGTTTCTGTGTAGTTTTTCGGGGAGTATATTGCCCCGCCCACAAGATGGGAAGCTCCGTTATGTGGGAGGAGAGACGCGAATTGTGAGTGTTCCACGAGATATCAAGTTTGATGAGTTGATTAACAAGATGAGGGAGCTTTATGAAGGTGCAGCAGTGCTCAAGTATCAGCAACCCGATGAGGACCTTGATGCTCTTGTCTCAGTTGTGAACAATGATGATGTGACTAACATGATGGAAGAGTATGATAAGTTGGGATCTGGCGATGGTTTCACTAGGCTCAGGATTTTTTTGTTTTCGCATCCCGACCAAGACAGCTCATCGCACTATGAGGGTGATGAAAGGGATAATGAGAGGAGGTATGTCGATGCTCTCAATAATTTAAATGATAGCTCCGAATTTAGGAAGCAATATCCCGAGTCCCCTCTTACTAATCCGGTTGATGACCTCCATATAGCAGAACAATTTTTTAGTCCAATGAGTCTTGAGGGTGGCCTTCACAGTCAGAGAAATTGTGATATATCCATGGCTCAATACAACTTGCATCAGCTCAAGATACCTCATGCAGGATCGGGGCAACATCATCAACCAATTAGTCAGAGGTATAATGAAATGGAAGCTCCTTGGAGTCCTGCATACTATTCTCCCAGGCACCATGCGCACCTTGATCCAAGACCAATGGCTGAGTTTCCTTCCTCTCCTTCCTCTGCACGGTACTGTATGCCATTTCCAGATGTACCCGATAAATGTTTAGATAGAATGCCTGAAGAATATGCACGACAGCCATTGAATCACCAGCCTCCATATGAACACCAACCACAGTATTCTGAGAATGTTGTATGGCTTCCAAGTGGAGCAATAGGTGGTGAAAGGTCAGGATTTCCAGGTAACATTTTTCATGGAAACAATGCCGTCGAAGGAAACAGTATTTGTGAACACTGCCAGATGACTTTCCAGAGAAACCAACCACATTTTGAGCAACCAATCGTGGCAAATGGATTTCAGCATGTTGCTAATCCAAGCGGCAAGTGTACGCCAAATAGAGAGACTTTCGTGATGAATCCAGATGCAAAGTTGCACCATGAAATATACGTAAGTGAACAGAATACTGGTCCTCATCATTTTAGTGAGACTCCAAATCATGAAAGAGGCTGGACTCCACATCTTCATTTGAATTGCCGGACTGAGGAAGCACGACCACATGCTTCTGGAGCTGGGAAATTGAATGATCCTTACATTGTAGATGGTCACATAAATTTGCCTCTTGGTCCTAATACTGTGGATGACCATCACGTCACTTCCAATTATGTTCATCACCCAGCTGGACCTGAAATGGGAAATGAAGTGTTTCATGAACGATCTGTGGCTGCTCCACCCCATGTACACATTGCTCCTGTAGAAGAGTATGGTGTTCGTTATGGAAATTTTCCTTATCCCTATGGAGGAGATAATATTTATCGGGGGTCTCATGGACATGCAACTGGACCGGCAGTATGGAGAAATGTTCAGAGCCCAATGCATGCTGCGCCCCCTTACGAAGCATCCATTTCTGCTCCACAAGTGAATGGTTCTGTTAATGTGGGATATCTCAGACGTGAAGATAGTCCAGTGTTTTCCATTGGATTAGACAATCAAAATATTTGGGTTGACACCTCGCAGGAAATGTTAGGTTTGGAAGGAAAAGCTGTTCCTCCGGACTGTTCTTATGGGCACGCTGTGAAGTTGAACCCAAACCCACTCTGTCAAGAAAATCATCAAGCATATCCTCCAGACCGCGTTCAACCTACACCTGATATGATAAATTGTGCTATTCCTTTGGACCCCAACTCCGTTGTAAGGTTTGAGGAAAAGAGTTCACCTGGAGTAAATGAGGTGAATCTTGTGGACAACGTGGAGAACCCTGAAACAGAGGTTATAAATCCAAACAATCATTGTGATAAAAATGGTGGTGTGGTATCTCTTGAGTCAATAAATTCGAATTTTGCTAAGCTTGCAGAAGAAAGTGGTAATGTTGGCAAAACAAGTGACGAGGATCAGTCTACTTGTGAACTTTCGAAGCTTTCTGTTAACAATTTGAGTTTCATACCGGAATTGATTGCTTCTGTTAAAAAAGCTGCTCTAGAGGGGGCTGAGGAGGTGAAAACCAATGCTGAAGAAAGTACCGACCCTGAGAAGAGTAGTTCAATAGACAAAGAAGCAGCTGCAAAAAATTTGGAACAACCGGTGAGAACTATATGAAATGCTATAAATGAGATTAGATTATGTGTATTATTTTTTTTTGTCTTCTTAATGTGGTGTTGTTTTGTAGAACACTCCTGGAGACAGGGAATTGGATTCTGATAGTGATAATCTAAACAATTCCAAAATTGAGCCAACAAGGGCCGAGGCAGAAGCTATTGCCAAGGGATTGCAGGTTTCTTTTCGCAGTCATCTTTGTGTCATTGTTAAATCCTACATTCATATTTCCTATACTATGTTTCTTGGTCTTTCATGCGGTTTTCTTTTACCTGTATGATTGTAAATTTTTTTGACAGACAATAAGGAATGATGATCTTGAGGAGATCCGAGAATTAGGTTCTGGGACTTACGGGGCTGTGTTTCATGGGAAGTGGAAGGGGTCTGATGTAGCAATAAAGAGAATAAAGTCCAGTTGTTTTGCTGGGAGACCATCAGAAAGAGAACGTTTGGTAACAACCGAGCAATCTTCCTTTCTAGAATATTACAGTTTCTTATAACCTATTATATAGCACCTTCTTGTTTGTCCCATTTGTGCTGCCCAACGTATTGTTTGTTCTGGCATTTTATGTGATCTTGTTTCTTGCAAATTTCTGCTATGGAAGTAGTGACTGTGCGCTAGCTGATGCTGTAATTACACCATTCATTTAATATAATTCACGTTTTGGAGATTTAGTCTGTAATATTATTATGTTTACTTTTTGAACTGAAGTAATTGAAATGATGTTGTCGAGAGGAAGACATTATTCTTCCTGAAATGGTATGTTCTTCATATTTTCATCTATGGGTGTGGTACTGACTTTTTCTTTCTTGTCTTCTCAGATTGCGGATTTCTGGAAGGAGGCTTTAATACTGAGTTCATTGCATCACCCAAATGTTGTTTCAATGTATGGTATTGTGCGAGATGGCCCTGATGGATCTTTAGCAACTGTGACCGAATTCATGGTTAATGGTTCTTTGAAACAGTTTTTGCAGAAAAAAGACCGGTAATTAGTTAGTTGTCTGGGAAGGAATATTTCTAATTTGCACTATTGTTTTCTTCTCAGTTTCTATTTTAGGGCTCTCTTATTCTTTGCTAGTATGTGATGAATCTATTTATGCCATTGATCAGAACAATTGATCGTCGTAAAAGATTGATCATAGCTATGGATGCTGCATTTGGGATGGAGTATCTGCATGGAAAAAATATTGTGCATTTTGATTTAAAGTGTGAAAATCTATTAGTAAATATGAGAGATCCACAACGGCCTGTATGCAAGGTTGGATGATTTAAATATCAAATTCTGTTACGTCCTTTCCATTCTTACTTTCCAGCTCACTTTATCTTAGTGTGCTTTCTTTTTGGGACTCATATTGATGTGTGTACGTTTCTTTAGATTGGTGATTTGGGATTATCCAAAGTAAAACAACAGACTTTAGTGTCTGGAGGTGTTCGTGGAACTTTGCCCTGGATGGCACCTGAGCTTCTTAGCGGGAAAAGTAACATGGTAACAGAGAAGGTAATAGTGAATTTAGCCTTGGAACATATATTGAAGTTTATGTCTCTCGTGAGTGATAACTCTTTTAGAAGTATCACTAGTTTCTCAGCCTTTAACTCTCAGTCTCGTGTTATTTTCAATTTTGTAGATTGATGTTTACTCATTTGGAATTGTTATGTGGGAACTGCTTACGGGAGATGAGCCATATAGAGATATGCATTGTGCTTCTATAATTGGTAAGAACCAATATTTTGTAGGCATATATTCCTTCCATTTTTGTTCAAAATGTTATCTCTGGGTCATTCTCATTATTGATTTAGTAATACAACACCAATCTCTGCGAATGTACTTGTAATCGCGGATGTGTACATTATGTATTTGATGCGAGATTATATGCAATCGCATTTCAATTCCATTTCTAGCTGAAATTGTCTGGTTCTGTCATGTAAAATCCATGTAAGATCTAACTTCACTTTATATATACTTGTGCTGGACAATTGACAAAACAAAGTTGCTTGCTGTCTGTTTTCTTTTCAGTCGTTGCTTATGTGAAAATAGTAGAACTTGAGCATGTTCTTAAAGAAACCCCCTAGCTTTAAGACTATTTTCTTACGTTTGGCAATTATAACATATTTTCTGCTGATTTGACACTTTAACCTTACTTGTCAACTATCTGCTTTGCAATTCGAATTGTAAATTTCATGTTTTGTTCGAATTGTCCACTGTATTTTTCTCATCGTTTTGATTCTCTTAGGAATTGGTAACTTGTAGATATTTGCTAGGAAGAAAAAGAAAGTATCCTTTTCCTTTTGTATTAGTAATTTTGCATTATTCGGCAACAGTCACCTTTCATTGGAAGTACCGGTGCTGTCTTATCCCTGTGTCAGTCCATGACTGAGCACCTACGGCAGTCATCTCTTACACATACCTGTTGGGTTGGCATGCTTGGATTTTACATGAATTGTTTGCATGCTTTTTAACGAGCCCATTTTCTAGGTATTAAATGCCCATACAACATCCACAATTGAATGATACCAGTCAAGGATACTACAGTATAGTTCTGATCTGCAATCTGTTCTTTTGTTTTGCTTGCAGGAGGTATAGTGAACAACACTCTGCGTCCTCAAATTCCCCCGTGGTGCGATCCAGAATGGAAGTCTTTGATGGAAAGTTGTTGGGCTCCTGAGCCTTCACAGAGGCCATCGTTTTCTGAAATCTCTCAGAAGCTAAGGAATATGGCTGCTGCAATGAATGTGAAATAATTCGTCTGGATGCAGTTGATTCACTTGCATTGTATGTTAGCCACAACTTAGCCGAAGAGTAAAATAAATTTTAAGCATAGATTTTGCAGTTTAAGGCCAGCACTGGTTTCCAAATTATATTAAGGCTAATAGTGTATTATTATTATGCCTTGGTTCATATTTAAGCAACCTAATATATACTGCCTTGAAATGGTAATTTTCTTTGAGAAGTGCTGGATATGCGCTTTGCAGTGGCTTTTACCCGGAAAGGGCTTTCATCATACACGGAGCGGAGCCATGATGGCACGATCAAAACGTGAGTCCATCTATTTACTTATTTTTTTCATCTTGTATACTTTTACTCTTGTCACTCTCCGTAGTAATGGAGTTACTTATGGCTCTTTGGTACAGGTTGAAGTTATTTTGGTTGAGATCAGAATGGTGGTACTGCTATCAAAGCTGAACCAAGGTCGCTTCCGAAGGATGTGTATAGACATTACCATGTTTTACACAGTTGAACCGCTCTTGTTATTCGTTTTCGGGGCCTCTGCTTAGTATGCAAGATTGATATTACAGCTAGGGACATCTGTTTATATGTCCGACTTTTGCTTTGGCTCTACGAATGTAAAAAGCATATGATTATCTGTGAGAACCTCTTTACAGTGTTAAGTCTTACCTTAGTATTTATTCTACCTAGAAATAAAACACAGATGTACAAAATTACTTGGATATTGATCGGATTTGTACCCGGTACAGCGACGGGAATCTAGGTTGATCGGAAAATGTTTGGAACTCATTGTGAAATTCTGATGGAAAATATGAATAAACTTGGGCGTTCTATTCTTTTGTTTACGTTTCTTTTAGTACTGTTGGCAAAGTCAATTGCAAATCGTCAGCATGGATGAGTCATATGCTTTTCCAAGTGGATCGTCTACAGCTTATCACATCAGTGGTTCAACTCGTAAGCTTTGGACCATGTTACTTTGTACTTTCAATTGGGGCATTTGGTTCCTTCGTAATCAGGCTCGTTTCAAGGGTTGTCGGGCTTATTTGGAGTATGCTTTAGTTTATGGATCATTTTTCGGGAATCGTCTTCAATGTTCATGTGTTTCTAGACGGCGCAACCTTCTTTGCCTAATTTTTGCGTTGCTAGGTATTTCGCCGCTCTTGGCTTCGGCCCCTTCATTTATTCCTGTTCAGTGGCATCCTCGGCAGTTGGGGTGGATTAATGTGAATATAGATGGTTCTTGTTCTAATGGGCGTGCGGGTTTTGGAGGGATTTTCCGTACCAATGAGGGCCAAGTCCTTAGCGCTTTTGCTGCTTGTTCTAAATTTGTGAGTTCGGTGGTAGTGGAAATTTTAGCTTTTATTGAGGCAGTTCGTGTGGAGTGGGTTGATGACTGGAAACACTAGGATTGAAACTGATTCCACTTTGGTTCTGCATTAGCTCCGACCACAATTCCATGGTTTTTGTTGATTGATTGGAATTATTGTACACATAACGGAGTTGGTACACGAAATTAATTTCTGCTTGTAAACCTATTGGATTGTAGCTAACTGCTGCTAATTGCCAAGAATTTACTCGGTGCATAATGTATTTCGAAGCATTTACTGGGCGCATAATGTATTTCAAATTTGAAAAGGTGACAAACATTTACTAGGCGAGTAACGCCACTGCGACACTATCTTGATTGCAAAAGAGTCATCATAGGTGTTATCATTGTGTTTGGTACTTGCTATACATATTTGCAATTCACCACCAAGTTTCCCGACAGATATTTAAGCCTCCAATCTAAGTTCTAAAAGATATCTACAAGACTACAACCTTTACCGCGCAATGCAAAACATGCATACATAAATTTTTGTAGGAGATAAACTAAGAGAGCATACATACATACACTGTCCCTACCAATTACCAATAGCCACCCAAGTTTGGTTCATGAGTAAAATTGAAATAATAATTAAGAACCTGGTTGACTTTGGACTATTAAAATTTTGCTTATATGCGTGTTTAAGAAATGACATTGATATCGGTTCTGGCTAATGATTAAACTACTATATATATCATCAAGTCTAAGTTATGGATCAAATTGGCTTGGCATTACCAACTCTCTTTTCTCTTTTCTCTCTTACGTACAAAATCTTTGAGGTCAAATTCTGTGACACCATCAACTGTCGCCATGTACCTAATACACGCCAATGACCTTCTGTTTTCAAAGTCAAAGTTCGCACGTAGTTAACTTCATGCAAGTGCATGCGCATGCATGTTTGTTAACATCTGTTACGAAACCAGTACAACAGCAAGAGCTAGGATGCAGAAATCTCAACGGTTAATAACACAAGTTAAAAAATCAGACAACAATGTAGTGAGTAACTGGCATTACAGTAACTCAGTAACGAAATGAACTGCTACCTCTGGTTTGTGCTGATAAGTTTTGGATTATAGCTCACTGCAGAGGTGATAGCTAATTGCCAAAAATGGAGGACCACATCCTATCTATTTTAAACTTTTTGCACTACATACAGATATCACAGGGGATTTAGTCCAGTGGTAGGATGCTCGCTTAGGGAGCGAAAGGTCCCGAGTTCAATTCTCGGAATCCCCATATCCTTTTTTTTTTCTTTCTTGTTTCTGCCAACCAGAGAAGACTAGAAAAGACTTATGTAATAGCCAAAATATAAGAGCAAAAAGGTCAGAAGTTTGTACCTCAGTTGGTTAAGATCCTAACTTCGATTCTTCTTGGTTCACCCTTTGTAAAAGTAGAGAGCAAATATTGTTGAACCTAACCCTAACGAGTGTAAGGTTGGCCTACAAGACAATACGCAAAAACTCCTCGATACCAAATAGGGTGGATATCCAAAAAATACGTTGGGTGCTGAAAAGTCTACTAATTGAAAAACTTGTTAGGTTTTTTGTTGTCAAATTTGAAATGAAAAAAAAAAAAAAAAAAAAAAAAAAAACAAAAACAAGAACAGTTTTGACAAATGTTGATGACTTTGAAGAATGGGGCAGAGAGACCTGAGTCTAATGAGCTCAGCAACTGCTTCCATTTGTAGCGTCTTAACGCGTTACTTTACATAAAGTGCATGGAGGACTCTCAGATAACAACAGCTTCAATAATTTATAGTTTACAGGCATTTGTCAAGGTTAATCAATATTTTATGTCCCAATTTGTTGGATTATTGAAATACATTTGATTTGATATTATGTTATGTGAGTCCACCTTCGCATCCTAATTTGTCAACCCCTGTGACATCATTTGTATTATACAAAGCTCTAAATTTTATGTGAAGTTTCCGAAATTTATATGCTAGCTAGGTGATATGTACATGTCCCTATGGAAAATGTAAATATGATTAATATTGCCTAAGGAAAAGTATCCAATGTTTAATCAATAAGGAGGCACCAACATATTTGAGTTTAATTAAATTGTTTAGAACAATATGTTCCACATAATTTAGATAAATACATGTAAGATACGAGGGGTGTTTATATAACAGTGACCACTAAGGGTAGTTATAATGCTCAGCAAAGAAGATTTATTTATTTTTTGGGAACTTTAACCAAAAACCAAATTTTTCTTAACATACAGAAATGAAAAGATGGGAGGAATGCGAAAGGTCAAAGAAAAGAAAAGAAGACTTTGTTATTACATCAATTGCAGTTTTTATTACATTGGAAAATGACTTAGCTCACTATATAGTGACTAGAATACTTGGCCACCAAGGATACTTGTAACTAACTATAACCATCAAGACCATAGGATCATTACACATGTCATAGCAAAGATTATGCCACCTGGCATTCTTATGGTTAATACCCCCCCTTAATCTCAACTGGGGAATCCCAGCTTGAGATTGCAACAGTGATGAAGAAAGGTTGGACCATGTAATCCCTTCCTCAACACATCAGCAATCTGGGCTTCTGTAGAAATATAGTCAACCTGCAAGTTTCCTTTTTGAACTCGTTCACGAACAAAGTGGAAGTCAGTGTCCAAATGTTTAATCCGAGTATGAAATACTGATGCGAAATATATAAGCACACAAATTAAACCCTCTTTTTGACAATTGTAGTATAGATGTAAGTAGGGTATCGTTCTAGGCCGGGGATTAGGAGGGATTGCTAAATCACTTGAAAACTAATTTAAAAACATAAAAACAAAGTTAAAAATGTAAACAAAAGATTTTAAAACAAGAAAGTAAAAGGGGGATTTGAGTTTGGTGAAGTTGAAAGTAAAACGAATAAACTAAAAACTTAAATAGATTTTAAACAAATTTGGGTTGAATGGATAATGGAAGGCTAGCTAAGGGGTTCTTCTCCACACATGTCTTGCTTGCATACAAAATGATTTCCAATTGCATTTCAATAACTTATTAATTCTCAATGCCCCAAATTAACCGTGAATTGCACTAATTAACCCTCAGTTTTTCCATAAGTTATTGGGTTGGATGATTGCATACGACAACCCAAAACATTCCCTACAAGTTCCCTACATGAATTGCATAATAGAGATACAAGCAAGAATCATTAAGTTCTATGAAAAACATAAGCATTGACGAGGCACTCGTTACTATGATTTGCATGAAACTTATGCCAAGGATTTACTTAACACAATCGTGACTAGCGACTTTTACTACTCATGAATATAAGTTCATAACGATTAGGTGAAATTCCCTTATACTCTTGCATCATATTTATGCATGCAAACTAAGTATGCATCCCTAATCAACATACATAAACATGTTATCAATCAAATAGATAAGTAAATCGAATTCATAACTTATGAAACGCAGTTAAAAGTAATCAAATCATATTGCAAGCATTAACATGGTTTCGAATCCCCCCCTAGCCAAGGGGGGTTTAGTTCCTCATTATTACAAAACAAAGATAAACAAATTTAAACATTGAAAAACAAAGGAAAGAAAGCACCTAAACGTTCCAACGATCCATGTTGGATAGCAAGTGCATCTAAGGACTTTTCTCCTTCTCTTTGCCGCAACAACAAGGTTGGAATGATGTTGAAGGGTTGGTTATTTGGAGGAATGGATGGGAATGGGTTTAGATATGTAGGAGAGGCAAGGAAAGGCTTGGAGAATGGTTAATTTCTGGATGAATTCAATGAGGTTGCTGCATGGTATTTATAGGGAGAGGATGGACATGTTTAATGCAAAAAATCTGGTGGAATGAAGTAGGTAAGGCATGGCAAGGTGGAGAATTGTTGGTGAGGGTAGGTTTTGAGTCATCCACTCACATGTCATGGTGAGTTAAGCATTGCATCATCCACTCAAATGTCATGGTGAGTTAAGCATTACATCATCCACTCAAATGTCATAGTGAGATAGGCATTGCATCATCACTAAAAAAATCTGGTGGAAGTAAAACAAAGGGAAGGCCACGGCATTGATGAATTTTATGGGGTATGCATGGTTTTGAGTGAAGTTTTGGCCAATCCTTCTAGAAATTTATCCCTTCTTGCAACTTGTATTTGTTTCACCAGATTTTTAGCATGTTCCTAGCCTCTTTTGTCTTCAAATTCGTCCATCCATCTTGCTCATATCATATGTAATCCATTACAAGCTCAAAACTGCTCCAAAATGCACCAAAATGCACTTTCTTGCTACCTTAGCCCTTTGGACCTACAAACACACGAAAATGGCTTAAAGTACTAAAATAACTAAGAACTAATAACGTAAATGCAAGAAAACTAGTTAACTAAGTCGCATAAATATGCGTCTATCAAATTCCCCCACACTGAGCTATTGCTAGTCCTCGAGCAAAATAAAACAAATAAAACATAACCTAACCTTCCAACATTTGCCTTAGGGATTTCCAATGCACATGAC